TGCCCGGAAGGGAATCTGCCCCATGTGTTCCTTTGCTAATAAACCCTATTTTGATGGAGTTTTAGCTGTGCCTCGGTGCCTCATCCTCCATTCACTCGTTCTCCGCCAGCTTTTTTCCTATCATTTGGGTCATATGATATTTCAATTTTTAATTTTGTGAGGAACCTCCAAACTGATTTCCATAATAGCTGTATTAATTTGCACTCCTACAAGCAGTGTATAAGGGTTCCTCTTTCTCCACATCCTCTCCAACATTTGGTGTTAGATTTCTTGGTGATAACCATTCTGACTGGGGTGAGCTGGTATCTCAGGGTAGTTTGCATTTCACTGGTGACTATGAATGTTAAACACCCTTTAAAATAGTTATTGGCCATTTGTATTTCTTTTTCTGAAAAATGCCTATTCAGTTTGTTATCCATTCATTAGCTGGTAATTTTATTTCCTTTGTATTTTCTACAGTTCTTTGTAAATCCTGATATTAGCCTCTTCTGGGTAAAGATTTTCTCCCATTCTGTGGGCTGTCTCTGTGCTCTGCTGATAGTTTCCTTTACTCTGCAGAAACTTTTAAATTTCATGTAGTCTCATCTGTTGGGACTTTGGACTAGTTCCTGTGCTACTGATAGTCTGTTCAGAAAGTGTTTGCATGCCCCAATGTCCTGAAGTATATTCTTTATGTTTCAGGTCTTCATGTTGAATTAATTTTTATACAAAGTGAAAGATGTGAATCTAATTTCATTCTTCTGCAGGTGGATATCCAGTTTTACCAGCACCATTTATTGTATAGGCTATCTTTTTCCCAGTGTATGTTTTTGCTTCCTTTGTTAAGAATTGGGTGGTTGCTGGGCATGGTGGTGCATGGTGTTGCATGCCTCTAGTCCCAGCACTCAGGAAGCAGAGGCAGGTGAATCTCTGTGAGTTCAAGGCCAGCTTGGTCTACATAGCAAGCTACAGACCAGCTGAAGCTACAGGGAGACCCTGTCTCAAAAAGACAAAAAAAAAAAAAAAAAAAGAATTGGGTGGTCATCACTTTGTCAATTTATTTCCAAGTCTTCTATTCTGTTCCACTGGTCTACCTATCTGTTTTTATGCCAGTACCAGGCTGTTTTTACCACTATAGCTCTATAGTATAATTTGAAGTCAGGTATTTTATGATGCCTCCAGCTGTGTACTTTTAAACATCTGTTTAAAGACCTGCCTACTTAGCTCACTGTCCACATGGGGGGAGATGCATGAGTGCCATGGTGTGTGTGTGTATGTGTGTGTGTGAATGTGTTTGTGAGTGTGTGTGTTTGTATGTGTGTGTGTGTTTGTGAATGTGTGTGTTTGTATGTGTGTGTGTGTTTGTGAGTGTGTGTGTTTGTATGTGTGTATGTGTGTGTGTGTTTGTGTGTGTGTGTGTGTGTGTGTGTGTGTGTAGGTCAGGTGACAAGTTGTGACAGTCACTTTTCTCCAGCTATCACGTGAGTTTAGGAGATTTAACTCAGATTCTTAGACTTGTCAGTAAGTGCCTTTACCCGAAGAGCCTTGTCACCAAGCCCTGTTACCCCTTAGGATTCTTTGGCTATTCGTGATCTTTTGTGGATTCATTGGAATTCTTGGATTGTCATTACCCTTTTTAATTTTTTTTCTCCAAATATTTTTCCTGTTAATTATGACTTTGAATGACTGCATATTATTCCCAGCTATACCGTACCAGTAATAGCAACAAGTGTTTGTGTGTCACTTCCTTTATTATTCATTATCTGATGTATTATTCATATTAAATATTTTTCCAGAAAATGTATTCTGTTCGATATCAGTAAAACCAATAAGTTTTTGCTTTATAAAAGGTAGTTTGGTGGCACACACCTTTAATCTCAGCACTTGGAAGGCAGAGGCAGGTGGATCTCTGGGACATCCAGGCCTGCCTGGTCTATATAGCAAGTTCCAGGTTAGCTGTGACTACAGGGGGACCTTGTCTAAAAGAAAGAAACAAATAAAAAAAGATACTGTGGTAAGAGTACCTGATGAGGACCTGAGTTTAAATCCCCAGCACCCACATAAATAGCTAGGCATGGCTACATATACTTGTTACCCCGGCATCAGGGGAATGGAGACAGGCAAATCCTGAGGGCTTACTGGCTAGCCAGCCCGGTCAAAATGGTGAGTTCCTGTTTCAGTGAGTGACCCTGTCTTAAGCCAGTAAGCTAGAGAGCAGTTAATGAAGCTGTCCAATGCTCTGCTTTGGCCCCCCTATGAACACTCACATGCATACACTTGGCACACATATATCACGTACACACAACACATACCATGCATATATGCTTGTATACATAGGACACACACACTCAAAGAAAGAAAAAAAAATTTAATTAACATTTAATTAACCAGGTGCTTAAAATCCCAATTTTCAGGAGAGTAAGGTGGGAGAATTGCCATAAGTTCAAGGCCAGCCTACACTGCATGATATGGGCCGCATAGTGAATTCTAGACCATCCTGTAAGAACCTGTCTCAAGGGAGACAGAGAGAGAGACTGACTCTTCTCTGAGAAGACCGCACTGATGTTCTCCATTGTGTCTCCTTTTCTTGTGAGCTCCTCTTCTTTTTTAGCCCTCGTGCTCAGGCCTGTATTAAAATAAAATATGTTTATTAAACTCCTCTTCATGAAAAAAAAAGTGTTGTTTGGCATTGACTCTTAAAAATCTTGGCCTAAATTTAAAGATGAGCGTTTCAAATAGGTAATGAAAATTGTTTTTCAATATAAAGAGTTTCTGTTAAAATGGAGAAAACTTTAGGGCTGGAGAGATGGCTCAGTGGTTAAGAGCACTGGCTGCCCTTGCAGAGG